TCACTGAGCCCTCTTCTCCTTCCAACACACCTGCTTACACAACCTTCCACATCTGCAACACCCACACCAACCCTCACTGAACCTTCTTCTCCTTCCAACACACCTGCTTACACTGAACCTTCCACATCTGCAACACCCACACCAACCCTCACTGAACCTTCTTCTCCTTCCAACACACCTGCTTACACTGAACCTTCCACATCTGCAACACCCACACCAACCCTCACTGAGCCCTCTTCTCCTTCCAACACACCTGCTTACACAACCTTCCACATCTGCAACACCCACACCAACCCTCACTGAACCTTCTTCTCCTTCCAACACACCTGCTTACACAACCTTCCACATCTGCAACACCCACACCAACCCTCACTGAGCCCTCTTCTCCTTCCAACACACCTGCTTACACAACCTTCCACATCTGCAACACCCACACCAACCCTCACTGAACCTTCTTCTCCTTCCAACACACCTGCTTACACTGAACCTTCCACATCTGCAACACCCACACCAACCCTCACTGAGCCCTCTTCTCCTTCCAACACACCTGCTTACACTGAACCTTCCACATCTGCAACACCCACACCAACCCTCACTGAACCTTCTTATCCTTCCAACACACCTGCTTACACTGAACCTTCCACATTTGCAACACCCACACCAACCCTCACTGAACCTTCTTCTCCTACCAACACACCTGCTTACACTGAACCTTCCACATCTGCAACACCCACACCAACCCTCACTGAACCTTCTTCTCCTTCCAACACACCTGCTTACACTGAACCTTCCACATCTGCAACACCCACACCAACCTTCACTGAGCCGCCTTCTCCTTCCTCTTCCACATTTCTTGTACCCCCCTGGTGCTTTCTTCAACAACCTCTCAACAACCTCTCCCAGCCCCTGCCCCACTCTACTCTACCAGAAGCAACCAGAACAGCTCGAAAGAAAACATTAAAAAGCAATTAAACCTCAGCAACCCCTCTCCTTCTTCAGACACAAACAATAGATGCAGGAGATTAAATGATATATGCAACAAACAGATTACTGCAGATGGTATATCCCAGATGGGTGCAAAACAGGATTTTGCACGCCATCTACATCCCGCTCCCACCAACAGCACACAACATGATCCTTAAGGTCACACAATTTAACATGCACAGCTACAACGTGAACATCCTGACCGAATTCGTTGAGTTTGAGCTGTCTTTCTTGGGTTATCCGGTCCTCTCAAGGAAGGTTCCTTGATGTTGGTGAGGGGCTCTTGATTTAGGGAATTGGATCTGTGCTCCAGTTCCCCGAATTAAGCCTGAATGCCTTCCACATATCCCCCCCCCCAGGCGCTGTATAATCCTCCGGGTTTAGCGCTTCCCCCTTGATTATAATAATAATAATCTTGGGTTATCCTGGGTGGCTAACCCTCTGGGGTTAAAAATCCGAACAAAATCTTATCCTACTACAACTTTATGGTCAGTGGTTGTTTAAATTATTTTTGTTATTATAATTTCCTGTTAATAAACACCATAGTAGTTACACCTCGCACACTATGTAATAATAACAATAATTATACAAAGGATATGTATACTCAGCCGGGCTGTGGCTCGTACGTTGGTTTGCGTGCAGCAAGCAGCAACAGCCTGGTTGATCAGGCGCTGATCCACCAGGAGGCCTGGTCACAGACCGGGCCGCGGGGGCGTTGACCCCCGGAACTCTCTCCAGGTAAACTCCAGGTAAACCTTGTATGATGTCTCAGCATATATATATGCTGAGAATTTAATGATCCTTTTATCTTAATACATCGTTTATACATATTATATACATATACATGCAAAACAGCCACGGGGGGGGGGAGCTGAATAATAGCTCTAGGCCTTTCGTGTTGCAATCAAAACATCATCAGGGGCTTGCAATGTTTCGGAAATGTGTAAGAAATCTCAGCAAATTCGTTCTCAGGGGCGAATTTGCTGAGATTTCTTAGTCATTTCCGAAAATTTGCAAGCTCCTGATGTGTTGATTGCAAAATGAAAGGCCTAGAGCTATCAATCAACTCCCCCCTTGGTTGTTTTGTATCCTGCGTTGCTTGTTTGGGTTTCTTGAATAAAATACATATATACAGTTACACGGTGATCAGTACATGTAGGAAAGAGTAACTAAAACTGGTTTTAAAGGGGTGGAGTGGTAAGCCAGTGGAAGGCCTCGGTCAGATGACCAAAAGCTCCAATGACGGGTCATCATCAAAGACCCGCGTCAGCAAACACTTGTCCTCTTTCCTGATAAACCTTACCTGGATTGAGCTTCAATACCTTCCAGCCCCCCCCCCCCAAGGTGCTATATAATTCATATGGGTTTAGTGCTCCCTCATGATTATGTTGATAATGTTGTGTATAGTGGTGGTAATAGATACTCATAGTGATGGTGATAATTTTGTGCATAGTGATGGTAATAGATATTTATAGTGATGGTGGTGATGATGATAATGATGATGATAATAATAATAATAATAATAATAATAATAATAATAATAATAATAATAACAAAATAAAAATAATACACCGGCCTGGTGTCCGCACACCATCCTGGAGTCCGCACACCATCCTGGTGTCCTCACATCAGCCTGGTGTCCTCACATCAGCCTGGTGTCCTCACATCAGCCTGGTGTCCTCACATCAGCCTGGTGTCCTCACATCAGCTTGGTGTCCTCACATCAGCCTGATGTTCTCACATCAGCCTGATGTTCTCACATCACCCTGGTGTCCTCACATCAGCTTGGTGTCCTCACACCAGGATGGTGCCCTCACACCAGCCTGGTGGTCACGTCCTCGTCATAAATAATACACCAACTTGGTGTCGTCACACCAGCCTGGTGGTCACGTCCTCGTCATAAATAATACACCAACTTGGTGTCGTCACACCAGCCTGGTGGTCACGTCCTCGTCATAAATAATACACCAACTTGGTGTCGTCACACCAGCCTGGTGGTCACGTCCTCGTCATAAATAATACACCAACTTGGTGTCGTCACACCAGCCTGGTGGTCACGTCCTCGTCATAAATAATACACCAGCATGGTGCCCTCACACCAGCCTGGTGGTCAAGTCCTCGTCATAGATTCTTCACTCCTCGTCATAACGACGACTTCCTTTTCTAGATCTGCTTTGTCGTCTAAATGAATCATCGTCGTATAATTCGACTTCGTCAACGTGGAGGAAGTTATTATCATGACATGCATTGTTGTTAGTGACATGGCGCCTCTCAGGGAAGTTCTTTTTCTTCTTCTTGCAAACGCGATGCCAATCACCTTGCTCATCGTTGTCGGTGACATGGTTGTCACCTAGATCATCCTCGGGAACGTGGTTGTCACCTACATCGTCCTCAGGAACGTGTTTGTCACCTAGATCATCCTTGGGAACGTGGTTGTCACCTAAATCCTCAGGAACGTGATTGTCACAGTAATTTTCGTAGTTGGGGATATGGTCATCGCAGAAGTCGGAATTATATGAAGTGATTACCCCGTCTGGTTCTTCCTGCTCACAGAGGGAAGTAAAGCACTGTTCAGGCTCGCTCCTACCTTCACTTGTCTTGCGTCCCAGGCGCAGGTTCCTCAACCAGTCCGGCTCAAACTTTGTAGATTCGTTTTTTGGGACGTCATCTTTGGTCACCATCTTATGTTCAGGCGTGCTCCTACCTTCACTTGTCTTGCGCCCCAGGCGCAGGTTCCTCAACCAGTCCGGCTCAAACTTTGTAGATTCGTCTTTTGGGACGTCATCTTTGGTCACCATCTTATGTTCAGGCATGCTCCTACCTTCACTTGTCTTGCGTCCCAGGCGCCGGTTCCTCAACCAGTCCGGCTCAAACTTTGTAGATTCGTTTTCTGGGACGTCATCTCTTGTCGCCATCTTATCTTCTTGGCTCGGATTGTCGTCTTCTTTTAAACTTTTCTTGTCTTCGCGACTTTCTGTCCCATCTTCACGACTTTCCCTCCTGTCCTGGAGGTCTTTCCCACACTGGGAGTCGTTTTCCTGCACAGAGAGGGACAAAGTGTTGGTTAGGGACATGGTGTCGTGGAGTATCAGAGTGTTGGGGAGGGTCATGGTGTGGGGAAGGGGCTGTGAAGGACCAACAGTCTCAAAGGTAGCAGTGAATACTTGTTCACGAGTACACACGGAGTCACCACTCACCTCTGGGTTACCATTACTGGAAAATGTTGGTGACTTCTGAACTCTGAGTATTGCAGCAAGAGTGCAGGAAGTAGCTCCTGACACCATCAAAATAACCACCAGAAGGACTGGCAAAAACTGGAAGAGTGAAGAAGTTCCCTTGCAGGAGTGGTTCATATCCTTGAGGAGGATTTCCAGTTGTTTAACATCCTGTCTGGCTTGGTACCCTCTCAGAAAGATGCCCAGAACAGGCCAGGTTTGTGATGCCCACCCAGGGGTTACCTGGCTTGCTGGGGTCTGTCGGAAGGTATAAGTATTACAGTTTATAATGATCCCCATCCCAGGGATTTCACAAAGTTTCCAGGGAAGAGATTCACAAGCCAAGAAGGCTTCCTCGAGCTCATTTAGGAGTCGTGTCCGGTCCTCTTCCAGCTCCCGGACCCATTCATCAACAACGCTACATAAACAAAGAAAAACATAGATAAACACCACCACACCAACAACAATGGTGAAAGTTCTAAGCAATGTCATAGTTGGAACTACGAGTCAAAGATTTAACACAAGTATTTGATGTATTCTTAAGATGCGAAAACTTGAGAATATCACCGAATGATAATTTATGAGATATTTATCCATGACTTTGAAACAAATATAACATATGCAAAATATAGTGAACTTCGAATTTTGCTCTGGCCTTGTGTATAGTGATGGTAATACATAATTATAATGATTGTGATAAAGTTGTGAATAGTGATGATAATAGATATTTATAGTGATGGTGATAATTTTGTACATAGTGATGGTAATAGATATTGATAGTGATAATAATAATAATAATAATAATAATAATAATAATAATAATAATAATACACCGGCCTGGTGTCCGCACACCATCCTGGTGTCCTCACATCACCCTGATGTCCTCACATCAGCTTGGTGTCCTCACACCAGGATGGTGCCCTCACACCAGCCTGGTGGTCAAGTCCTCGTCATAGATTCTTCACTCCTCGTCATAACGACGACTTCCTTTTCTAGATCTGCTGTGTCGTCTAAATGAATCATCGTCATATAATTCGACTTCGTCAACGTGGAGGAAGTTATTATCATGGGATGCATTGTTGTTAGTGACATGGCGCCTCTCATGGAATTTCTTCTTCTTTTTCTTCTTCTTGGAAACGAGATCCCAATCACCTTGGTCATCGTTGTCAGTGACGTGGTTGTCACCTAGATCATCCTCGGGAACGTGTTTGTCACCTAGATCATCCTCGGGAACGTGTTTGTCACCTAGATCATCCTCGGGAACGTGTTTGTCACCTAGATCATCCTCGGGAACGTGGTTGTCACCTAGATCATCCTCGGGAACGTGTTTGTCACCTAGATCATCCTCGGGAACGTGTTTGTCACCTAGATCATCCTCGGGAACGTGGTTGTCGCCTAGATCATCCTCGGGAACGTGGTTGTCACAGTAATTTTCGTATTTGGGGATATGGTCATCGCAGAAGTCGGAATTATATGAAGTGATTACCCTGTCTGGTTCTTCCTGCTCACTGAGGGAATTAAAGCATTGTTCAGGCTCGCGTCTACCTTCACTTGTCTTGCGTCCCAGGCGCAGGTTCCTCAACCAGTCCGGCTCAAACTTTGTAGATTCGTCTTTTGGGACGTCATCTTTGGTCACCATCTTATGTTCAGGCGTGCTCCTACCTTCACTTGTCTTGCGTCCCAGGCGCAGGTTCCTCAACCAGTCCGGCTCAAACTTTGTAGATTCGTCTTTTGGGACGTCATCTTTGGTCACCATCTTATGTTCAGGCGTGCTCCTACCTTCACTTGTCTTGCGTCCCAGGCGCCGGTTCCTCAACCAGTCCGGCTCAAACTTTGTAGATTCGTTTTCTGGGACTTCATCTCTTGTCACCATCTTATCTTCTTGGCTCGGATTGTCGTCTTCTTTTAAACTTTTCTCGTCTTCGCGACTTTCCCTCCTGTCCTGGAGATCTTTCCCACACTGGGAGTCGTTTTCCTGCACAGGTTGGGACAAAGTGTTGGTTAGGGACATGGTGTCGTGGAGTATCAGAGTGTTGGGGAGGGTCATGGTGTGGGGAAGGGGCTGTGAAGGACCAACAGTCTCAAAGGTAGCAGTGAATACTTGTTCACGAGTACACACGGAGTCACCACTCACCTCTGGGTTACCATTACTGGAAAGTGTTGGTGACTTCTGAACTCTGAGTATTGCAGCAAGAGTGCAGAAAGTAGCTCCTAACACCATCAAAATAACCACCAGAAGGACTGGCAAAAACTGGAAGAGTGAAGAAGTTCCCTTGCAGGAGTCGTTCATATCCTTGAGGAGGATTTCCAGTTGTTTAACATCCTGGCTGGCTTGGTACCCTCTCAGAAAGATGCCCAGAACAGGCCAGGTTTGTGATGCCCACCCAGGGGTTACCTGGCTTGCTGGGGTCTGTCGGAAGGTATAAGTATTACAGTTTATAATGATCCCCATCCCAGGGATTTCACAAAGTTTCCAGGGAGGAGAATCACAAGCCAAGAAGGCTTCCTCGAGCTCATTTAGGAGTCGTGTCCGGTCCTCTTCCAGCTCCCGGACCCATTCATCAACAACGCCACATAAACAAAGAAAAACATAGATAAACACCACCACACCAACAACAATGGTGAAAGTTCTAAGCAATGTCATAGTTGGAACTACGAGTCAAAGATTTAACACAAGTATTTGATGTATTCTTAAGATGCGAAAACTTAAGAATATCACCTGGAGTTTACCGGGAGTTTACCTGGAGAGAGTTTCGGGGTCAACGCCCCCGCGGCCCGGTCTGTGACCAGGCCTCCTGGTGGATCAGCCCCTGATCAACCAGGCTGTTGCTGCTGGCTGCACGCAAACCAACGTACGAGCCACAGCCCGGCTGATCAGGAACTGACTTTAGGTGCTTGTCCAGTGCCAGCTTGAAGACTGCCAGGGGTCTGTTGGTAATCCCCCTTATGTGTGCTGGGAGGCAGTTGAACAGTCTCGGGCCCCTGACACTTATTGTATGGTCTCTTAACGTGCTAGTGACACCCCTGCTTTTCATTGGGGGGATGGTGCATCGTCTGCCAAGTCTTTTGCTTTCGTAGTGAGTGATTTTCGTGTGCAAGTTCGGTACTAGTCCCTCTAGGATTTTCCAGGTGTATATATTCATGTATCTCTCCCTCCTGCGTTCCAGGGAATACAGGTTTAGAAACCTCAAGCGCTCCCAGTAATTGAGGTGTTTTATCTCCGTTATGCGCGCCGTGAAAGTTCTCTGTACATTTTCTAGGTCGGCAATTTCACCTGCCTTGAAAGGTGCTGTTAGAGTGCAGCAATATTCCAGCCTAGATAGTACAAGTGACCTGAAGAGTGTCATCATGGGCTTGGCCTCCCTAGTTTTGAAGGTTCTCATTATCCATCCTGTCATTTTTCTAGCAGATGCGATTGATACAATGTTATGGTCCTTGAAGGTGAGATCCTCCGACATAATCACTCCCAGGTCTTTGACGTTGGTGTTTCGCTCTATTTTGTGGCCAGAATTTGTTTTGTACTCTGATGAAGATTTAATTTCCTCATGTTTACCATATCGGAGTAATTGAAATTTCTCATCGTTGAACTTCATATTGTTTTCTGCAGCCCACTGAAAGATTTGGTTGATGTCCGCCTGGAGCCTTGCAGTGTCTGCAATGGAAGACACTGTCATGCAGATTCGGGTGTCATCTGCAAAGGAAGACACGGTGCTGTGGCTGACATCCTTGTCTATGTCGGATATGAGGATGAGGAACAAGATGGGAGCGAGTACTGTGCCTTGTGGAACAGAGCTTTTCACTGTAGCTGCCTCGGACTTTTATCCATGGTTATGATACAAATGTAACATATGAAAAATATAGTGAGCTTCGAAGTTTGCTCTGGCCTTGTGTATAGTGATGGTAATACATAATTATAGTGATGCTGATAATGTTGTGTATAGTGGTGGTAATAGATATTTATAGTGATGGTGATAATGTTGTGTATAGTGGTGGTTAGTTATAATTTTATGTTTATTATACACCCCATACCCATCGAGTGCGTGGTAGTCAAAAGATTACAGAAGTACATAATTGATCCAGGGACTGGACTCCAAAGTTTTGATAGCTGAGCAAGTTACAGAGGTAATGAACTCACCATTAAAAAGGTAATGAACTCACAATTTACAAAGGTAATGAACTCGCAATTTACAAAGGTAATGAACTCCAGGTAGGTATGGTCACAATCTTGACAAGTTACAAAGGTATTTACAGATTACAGAGGTACGTAATGGGTCCAGGGACTGGGCCCCCAAAGTTTTGATAGCTGAACTAGGTACAAAGGTAATGAACTCACAAGTTACAAAGGTAATGAACTCACAAGTTACAAAGGTAATGAATCCTGTAAGAATGGTTACTTACTTTTATACATGGCTACAATCATGAACAAATTATAGAGTAATGAGCAATTCACACTTCCACACCCGGTCACAACTATATATAGTGAGGGTGATAATGTTGTGTATAGTGATGGTAATAGATATTTATAGTGATGCTGATAATGTTGTGTATAGTGGTGGCAATAGATATTTATAGTGATGCTGATAATGTTGTGTATGGTGGTGGCAATAGATATTTATAGTGATGCTGATAATGTTGTGTATGGTGGTGGTAATAGATATTTATAGTGAGGGTGATAATTTTGTGTATAGTGTTGGTAGTAGATATAGTGATGGTGATAATGTTGTGTATAGTGACAGTAATGGATATTTATAGTAATGGTGATAATGTGTATAGTGAAGGTAATAGATATAGTGATGATGTGTATAATGATGGTGATAATGTTGTGTATATTGTGTATATTGTGTATATTGTGTATATTGTGTATATTGTGTATAATGTGTATTGTGATTGATAATGTTACGTATAATGATGTGATAATGTTCTGTATATCGATAGTGATAATGTTGCATATAGTGATGTGATAATGTTGTGTATAGTGACGGTGATAGACATTGAATATAGTACTGTTGAATGTTGATAGATGTGTATAGTGACAATGTTATTTATAGTGAGGTTGACAGGTGAAGTGTTGTGATGGTGACATGTAATGTATAATAATGTTGGGAAATGTGGTGTATGGTGATGGTGAGTGTATTATATACTGATCACACATGTAGTGATGGTGATAGATGGTTTTTATAGTGATAGTGATATATGCAGTGTATAATAAAGGGGATATGTGCAGTTTTTTTTTTATTCGCCGTTATTCTCCTGTCCCAGGTCTTTTCCAAGTAGTGGTGACCCGGCCTTGACTCCCTATCTGGGGAGTGTCTCGAGACCTAAGTCTGCCATGGGAGGAGGTACAAGTACCCCCTCATCTCTGGGACCAACTGTCCAGAGGCCTAGCCACAGTCCCCGCCCTCACGGGGCTCGCAGGGAGAAGCTAGGCCTCTGGTCTAGTAAGGTTAATCAGGTATACATAAAGGAGCTCGTGGGGATGGCAATCTTGTGAACTGCAGGTGGTAGCAAGCTCAGGCTTGCAGTGAATTTTGATGGTGATATATGCAGTGAATATTGATAGTGATATGTGCAGTGAATATTGATGGTGATATATGTGATGAGTATTGATAGTGATACATGCAGTGAGTATTGATGGTGATATATGCAGTGTATAGTGAAGGTGATACATGCAGTGAATATTGATAGTGATATATGCAATGAATATTGATAGTGATATATGCAATGAATATTGATAACAATAAATTATAACAATAGTAATAATCTATCACTATAATAATAAACTATTCACATATTAATTTACAAAATAACATAAAAAAGAACCATACTGAAAGTTTTTGTTTGTTTACATCAGTTTTGGCGCGAAAATTACTTGGCTTCCCACGCTCAAGTTTTTTTCTTAAAAAGTTGTAAATTATCAAGTTTGTGGATGATGAAGGCCGAGTTGCTGTATGTGGACTTAGAGAACTTTAAGTCCTATAATGGGTGCCACCGTCTAGGACCTTTAGACCCCTTCACAGCTATTATTGGACCTAATGGAGCAGGTGACTGTATTTGTGTGTACTTGAACTTGTTAAGTTGATGACTTAACTTGATCAAGAGATTAATTGTTAGTAAGTTTAAGTACAGTTACACTCAAGTACAGTTACACTCAAGTACAGTTATACTCAAGTACAGTTATACTCAAGTACAGTTATACTCAAGTACAGTTATACTCAAGTACAGTTATACTCAAGTACAGTTATACTCAAGTACAGTTATACTCAAGTACAGTTACACTCAAGTACAGTTATACTCAAGTACAGTTACACTCAAGTACAGTTACACTCAAGTACAGTTATACTCAAGTACAGTTATACTCAAGTACAGTTATACTCAAGTACAGTTATACTCAAGTACAGTTACACTCAAGTACAGTTACACTCAAGTACCTGGAGTTTACCTGGAGAGAGTTTCGGGGGTCAACGCCCCCGCGGCCCGGTCTGTGACCAGGCCTCCTGGTGGATCAGCGCCTGATCAACCAGGCTGTTGCTGCTGGCTGCACGCAAACCAACGTACGAGCCACAGCCCGGCTGATCAGGAACTGACTTTAGGTGCTTGTCCAGTGCCTGCTTGAAGACTGCCAGGGGTCTGTTGGTAATCCCCCTTATGTGTGCTGGGAGGCAGTTGAACAGTCTCGGGCCCCTGACACTTATTGTATGGTCTCTTAACGTGCTAGTGACACCCCTGCTTTTCATTGGGGGGATGGTGCATCGTCTGCCAAGTCTTTTGCTTTCGTAGTGAGTGATTTTCGTGTGCAAGTTCGGTACTAGTCCCTCTAGGATTTTCCAGGTGTATATAATCATGTATCTCTCCCTCCTGCGTTCCAGGGAATACAGGTTTAGAAACCTCAAGCGCTCCCAGTAATTGAGGTGTTTTATCTCCGTTATGCGCGCCGTGAAAGTTCTCTGTACATTTTCTAGGTCGGCAATTTCACCTGCCTTGAAAGGTGCTGTTAGAGTGCAGCAATATTCCAGCCTAGATAGAACAAGTGACCTGAAGAGTGTCATCATGGCTTGGCCTCCCTAGTTTTGAAGGTTCTCATTATCCATCCTGTCATTTTTCTAGCAGATGCGATTGATACAATGTTATGGTCCTTGAAGGTGAGATCCTCCGACATAATCACTCCCAGGTCTTTGACGTTGGTGTTTCGCTCTATTTCGTGGCCAGAATTTGTTTTGTACTCTGATGAAGATTTAATTTCCTCATGTTTACCATATCTGAGTAATTGAAATTTCTCATCGTTGAACTTCATATTGTTTTCTGCAGCCCACTGAAAGATTTGGTTGATGTCCGCCTGGAGCCTTGCAGTGTCTGCAATGGAAGACACTGTCATGCAGATTCGGGTGTCATCTGCAAAGGAAGACACGGTGCTGTGGCTGACATCCTTGTCTATGTCGGATATGAGGATGAGGAACAAGATGGGAGCTAGTACTGTGCCTTGTGGAACAGAGCTTTTCACCGTAGCTGCCTCGACTTTACTCTGTTGACGACTACTCTCTGTGTTCTGTAGTGAGGAAATTATAGATCCATCGACCGACTTTTCCTGTTATTCCTTTAGCGCGCATTTTGTGCGCTATTACGCCATGGTCACACTTGTCGAAGGCTTTTGCAAAGTCTGTATATATTACATCTGCATTCTTTTTGTCTTCTAGTGCATTTAGGACCTTGTCGTAGTGATCCAGTAGCTGAGACAGACAGGAGCGACCTGTTCTAAACCCATGTTGCCCTGGTTGTGTAACTGATGGGTTTCTAGATGGGTGGTGATCTTGCTTCTTAGGACCCTTTCAAAGATTTTTTATGATATGGGATGTTAGTGCTATTGGTCTGTAGTTCTTTGCTGTTGCTTTACTGCCCCCTTTGTGGAGTGGGCCATGTCTGTTGTTTTTAGTAACTGAGGGGACGACCCCCGTGTCCATGCTCCCTCTCCATAGGATGGAAAAGGCTCGTGATAGGGGCTTCTTGCAGTTCTTGATTGAACACAGAGTTCCACGAGTCTGGCCCTGGGGCAGAGTGCATGGGCATGTCATTTATCGCCTGTTCGAAGTCATTTGGCGTCAGGATAACATCGGATAGGCTGTGTTAATCAAATTTTGTGGCTCTCTCATAAAAAATTCATTTTGATCTTCGACTCTCAGTCTGTTAGCGGCTTGCTAAAAACTGAGTCATATTGGGACTTGAGTAGCTCACTCATTTCCTTGCTGTCATCTGTGTAGGACCCATCTTGTTTAAGTAGGGGCCCAATACTGGCGTTTGTTCTCGATTTTGATTTGGCATAGGAGAAGAAATACTTTGGGTTTCTTTCGATTTCATTTATAGCTTTTAGTTCTTCCCGCGATTCCTGACTCCTCAAGGATTCTTTTAGCTTAAGTTCGATGCTTGCTATTTCTCTGACCAGTGTCTCCCTGCGCATTTCAGATATATTGACCTCTTTTAGCCGCTCTGTATTCTTTTCCGTCGCCTGTAAAGGGAGCGCCTGTCTCTTTCTATTTTACATCTCACTCCTCCTTTTTCTTTGAGGAATAAGCCTTGTGCATACATCGAGTGCCACCGAGTTAATCTGTTCTAGGCATAAGTTTGGGTCTGTGTTGCTTAGTATATCTTCCCAGCTTATATCGTTAGGACTTGGTTTACTTGGTCCCACTTTATGTTTTTGTTATTGAAGTTGAATTTGTGAATGCTCCCTCGTGACTATCTCATTTTGTCGTCTGGGGCTCCTCGCATACATGTCTGAACCTCAATTATGTTGTGATCTGAGTATATTGTTTTTGATATGGTGACATTCTTATCAGATCATCATTGTTAGTGAATATGAGGTCTAGTGTATTCTCCAGTCTAGTAGGCTCATTATTTGCTGGTTTAAATTGAATTTGTGCAGAGATTTAAAAGCTCGTGTGAGTGTGAGTTTTCATCAGAGCTGCCTCCTGGTGTTATTACTGCAACAATATTATTTGCTATATTCCTCCATTTTAGGTGCCTTAAGTTGAAATCCCCCAGGAGCAAGATGTTGGGTGCAGGAGCTGGAAGATTTTCCAGACAGTGGTCAATTTTTAACAGCTGTTCCTGGAATTGCTGGGATGTGCATCCGGAGGCTTGTAGACTACCACAATGACTAGGTTTTGGTTCTCGACCTTTACTGCTAAAACTTCCACTACGTCATTTGAGGCATTAAGCAGTTCTGTGCAAACAAGTGACTCTGCAATGTACAGGCCAACCCCCCCCTTTTGCCTGTTCACTCTGTCACATCTGTATAGGTTGTAACCTGGGAAACCATATTTCATTGTCCCCAAATGATCCTTTATGTGGGTCTCAGTGAAAGCCGCGAACATTGCCTTTGCCTCTGCAAGCAGTCCACGGATGAAAGGTATTTTGTTGTTTGTTGCGGGCTTTAGACCCTGTATAATTTGCAAAGAAGAATGTTATGGGACTGGTGGTATTGTTGGTACTGGGGGGATTTTTTTCCGGCATTATATCTGATCTTTTGGGTTTGAGGGAGGCCATCGACTGTGGTTCCACTCCAGGAATGACTGGATTTGGTGTACGATTTCTGCCATTTCCTGCAGTTTTTTTTCCTTCCTGGCACTAAAAAACCTCTCCCTCTTGAGTGGCTGTGGCTACCCAGGTTTTCCCATGGCCTGGATGTTTTGTATCTTTTTGTCCCCTTTAGATGGTATGCCTGGCAATTTAAGTTATAGCACAGTCTTTCCTGTACTGAAGAGGTACACATTTCAGGGTGAAAAAGCTTACAGGAAGGGAGTTTGCATTTTCCTGTTGTCATATGGGCATGGCATTTTCTAGGGTGGTCATAGTTGCACGTCCCATCTGTTTTTCCAGATTTCCCATGCCAGCAGATACCAAGTGCAGTTACAAGTACAGTTACACTCAAGTACAGTTATACTCAAGTACAGTTACACTCAAGTACAGTTATACTCAAGTACAGTTATACTCAAGTACAGTTACACTCAAGTACAGTTATACTCAAGTACATTACACTCAAGTACATTTTTAACTCAAGTACAGTTACACTCAAGTACAGTTATACTCAAGTACAGTTATACTCAAGTACAGTTACACTCAAGTACAGTTATACTCAAGTACAGTTACACTCAAGTACAGTTATACTCAAGTACAGTTATACTCAAGTACAGTTACACTCAAGTACAGTTACACTCAAGTACAGTTATACTCAAGTACAGTTACACTCAAGTACAGTTATACTCAAGTACAGTTATACTCAAGTACAGTTACACTCAAGTACAGTTATACTCAAGTACAGTTACACTCAAGTACAATTATACTCAAGTACAGTTACACTCCAGTACAGTTATACTCAAGTACAGTTACACTCAAGTACAGTTACACTCAAGTACAGTTATACTCAAGTACAGTTATACTCAAGTACAGTTACACTCAAGTACAGTTACACTCAAGTACAGTTATACTCAAGTACAGTTATACTCAAGTACAGTTACACTCAAGTACAGTTACACTCAAGTACAGTTACACTCAAGTACAGTTACACTCAAGTACAGTTATACTCAAGTAGTTACACTCAAGTACAGTTATACTCAAGTACATTTATACTCAAGTACAGTTACACTCAAGTACAGTTATACTTAAGTACAGTTATACTTAAGTACAGTTATACTGAAGTACAGTTATACTCAAGTACAGTTACACTCAAGTACAGTTACACTCAAGTACAGTTACACTCAAGTACAGTTACACTCAAGTACAGTTACAAGTACAGTTACACTCAAGTGCAGTTACAAGTACAGTTACACTCAAGTACAGTTACACTCAAGTACAGTTACACCTAAGTACAGTTACACCCAAGTACAGTTAAACTCAAGTACAGTTACACCCAAGTACAGTTACAAGTACAGTTACACTCAAGTACAGTTACACTCAAGTACAGTTACACCCAAGTACAGTTACACCCAAGTACAGTTAAAAGTACAGTTACACTCAAGTACAGTTACACTCAAGTACAGTTACACCCAAGTACAGTTACAAGTACAGTTACACTCAAGTACAGTTACACTCAAGTACAGTTACAAGTACAGTTACACTCAAGTACAGTTACACTCAAGTACAGTTACACTCAAGTACAGTTACACTCAAGTACAGTTACACCCAAGTACAGTTACAAGTACAGTTACACTCAAGTAAAGTTACACTCAAGTACAGTTACACTCAAGTACAGTTACACCCAAGTACAGTTACACTCAAGTACAGTTACACTCAAGTACAGTTACACCCCAAGAAACATACACCCAAGTACAGTTACAAGTAAAGTTACACTCAAGTAAAGTACACTCAAGTACAGTTACACTCAAGACATTTTACACTCAAGTACAGTTTACACTTAAGTACAGTTACACTCAAGTACAGTTACACTCAAGTACAGTTACACTCAAGTACAGTTACACCCAAGTACAGTTACAAGTACAGTTACACTCAAGTACAGTTACAAGTACAGTTACACTCAAGTACAGTTACAAGTACAGTTACACTCAAGTACAGTTACACTCAAGTACAGTTATACTCAAGTACAGTTATACTCTACAGTTACACCCAAGTACAGTTACACCCAAGTACAGTTACACTCAAGTACAGTTACACTCAAGTACAGTTACACTCAAGTACAGTTACACCCAAGTACAGTTACAAGTACAGTTACACTCAAGTACAGTTACACTCAAGTACAGTTACACCCAAGTACAGTTACACCCAAGTACAGTTACACTCAAGTACAGTTACACTCAAGTACAGTTACACTCAAGTACAGTTACACTTAAGTACAGTTACACCCAAGTACAGTTACAAGTACAGTTACACTCAAGTACAGTTACAAGTACAGTTACACTCAGGTAGTTACAAGTACAGTTACACTCAAGTACAGTTACACTCAAGTACAGTTACACTCAAGTACAGTTATACTCAAGTACAGTTATACTCAAGTACAGTTACACTCAAGTACAGTTACACTCAAGTACAGTTACACTCAAGTACAGTTACACTCAAGTACAGTTATACTCAAGTACAGTTATACTCAAGTACAGTTACACTCAAGTACAGTTACACTCAAGTACAGTTACACTCAAGTATAGTTACACTCAAGTACAGTTACAAGTACAGTTACACTCAAGTACAGTTACACTCAAGTACAGTTACACTCAAGTACAGTTACACTCAAGTACAGTTACACTAAAAGTACAGTTACACTCAAGTACAGTTACACTCAAGTACAGTTACAAGTACAGTTACACTCAAGTACAGTTACACTCAAGTATAGTTACACACAATTACACAAATTTAAGTTACTGCAGTAATCATACATACTAACGGAAACAAGTCAAACTGACTTATTTCTGTTGGGTAATTTTCAAGTGTTAATGTGTATGATAATTGTACTTATGTGCACCTGTACTTAAACTACATAAGTCAGAGTTACTTATTTCATTGGGGTCCTTGGAATTTCAGGAATTGGAGCTGTCTTTTGCTTCCTTGGATCAAACCTGATTATCTGTATTACCCTTATGAGCTTAGCACTTACCATGAATATATTAATGTGTAATGGCAATTATGTATTCAAAAATTTAATTTTCATAGTATGTATTTGAATATTTAAAATTTTTTAATTCCAGCTGCAAGTTCAGAATAATTGTTGTAAGGTTATATAGTAAGCCCATGGGCAGTTTTTAAGATAATATACTCACAAATAATTATTCTTTGTAGTAGGCCTACGCTAAATATTCCTTGAAGGTTATCCTAGGTAATTTACGCATATGTTACTATGCAAAATAACCGCAGGAGGAGTTGAATGATAGCTCTAAAGGAATCATTCAGGACCCTGTACACCGTGTATGTCAGGCCTATATTGGAATATGCAGCACCAGTTTGGAACCCACACCTAGCCAAGCACATAAGGAAATTAGAGAAAGTGCAAAGGTTTGCAACAAGACTAGTCCTGGAGCTAAGGGGCATGTCCTGTGGGGTTGCTTTTCATGTTCAATCAACTGCCTCCCAGCATACATAAGGGGAATTACCAATAGACCCCTGGCTGTCTTCAAGAAGGCACTGGACAGGCACCTAAAGTCAGTACCTGATTAGCCGAGCTGTGGTTCATATGTCAGGTTGCATGCAGCCTACAGTAACAGCCTGGTTGATCAGTCCCTGATCCACCATGAGGTCTGGTCATAGACCAAGCCACAGGGGCATTGACCCCCAAAACCCTCTTCAGGTATACTCCAGGTATACACATCATCTGGAGCTTGCAGTGTTGCAGAAATAAGTAGAAAACCCAGGCAGATTCACTCATGTTCTCTTGAGATAATCTGCCTGAATTTCCTACTCATTTCTGTAACATTACAAGCTCCTGATGATATGTTGATTTGCATCACAAAAGGCCTAGAGTTATCATTCATCTATCTCTGTGAATATTTTGCATCTTTTATTGCTCATGTACAATTATTGCATTTGTTACTATGTAAGATAATTGTACTCATATGTACATATACATCTACAATAAGTATATTTAAGATAGTCCTATAATAAATATTTTTAGATCCGTAATGTAGTATATTCTTGGTAGGCTTCCAGTAATTAAAAAAAAGATTTTTATTTCTTTGCAATGTTTACAATGTGTGATTACAATTTTGATTTGTTAAGTACAGTATAAAGAAAATCACTGTCATGCCGGGACATTTTGACCAATTCTGGAAACTGTCTTTAACTTAAATTTACCTTACCTTAAAATTTCTTATTTAATATGGAACATTTGTGCCATAACTTATTGTGTTGCCTACAATATCTATGCACAGTCTGTGACATATACTGTACATACAACATGTGCAGCAGAAAATAATAAACATAAACTTCAAACATTGGAGAAAAACGCAGACATGCAGGAGATCGTAACTACAAAGGTCAAGTTGCCATGTTTTGTTGTAGGGCTCTTGAGCCTAACTTACAAATGCAGAAGACAATATTTACACATTCCTTCAAACAGACCAGATATTAAGTAATAAATTTGTTCACTGATCTGGATTATGGCCGTAGTGGAATGTACTTTATGCTTCACAATGCCTCATATATTATGTAGGTCATATTTTCAAGAAGGAAAAATATTGAAGATCACAGTACAATATTTATAGAATATTAAGAGTGGTCAGGGGTCATGTACAGCATTTTGTGCATCTCTAAATTAAAATTATATTTTTTAATTTTTTTTTTGGTGTTGAAAAGTTTTAATCCATGGAATTGGAGCTATTGTATTTTTCTCCTTGAATAAAACTTGATAATGTCCCATTTTCATGGGGCTGTATAATCCTTATTAATTTAGCGATTCCCTGAATATACAAGTACAGTATTATCAATAGTAGTTTTTGCTTGTGCCCTAAGTAAGTTTATTTGGATACAGGTACACATAAGTACAATTATCATCCATGGTGTAAATTACCCACCCGGATAACCCAGAAAAGTCAGACAAAGTGATTTATTTCCATTAGAGTTATTGAAGCATTTCAGATCATTATTGAGTAATTTCTTTCTCAGGAAAGTCCAACTTCATGGATGCCATATCGTTTGTCATGGGTGAGAAGATCTCGAGCCTACGAGTTAGACAGTTGTCTGATCTAATTCATGGTGCTTCCATTGGCAAACCCGTCTCGCATTCGGCACAGGTAACAGCAGTATTTCGTTTGGAAGATGGCAAGGAGCAGCACTTCACCCGTTTGATTCAGGGATTATCATCAGACCACAAGGTCAATGGCAAGGTAAGCTAAGGTTTATGGCTATGCAATAGAACATTAACTTATAAATAAGATGTTCTGGAAATTGTTTGTAACTTGAGTGTTTGAAACCTGTTTTTCCATAGATTCCCATGTTATAATCAGAGCTGTGGCCCAAAGTTTCTATAATTTATATCTAACTTATCCTAACATTGAAATTAAAAGTACCATATGGTACAATCCCCATTTCATTTCTCACTCTTTCTCTCATTCTCTGTATTTCTTAAGTGAGTTTATTTAGGTACAGGTACACATTAGTACAATTATCATACCTAGTAACATGTAACACTGGCTGTCTCTTGCCAAGGTGGGGTAACCCATGAAAGGGAAACACATTCACCATTATTTATTGAATCCCTGTCTTGCCAGACGCATGCTAACATCACAGTTTAGATGACCCACAGACCTACGTACATCATCCTCACCTTTCCTTTAGAGTGCAGGCACTGTACTTCCTTCTCCAGGACTCTAATCTGTATAACTGGTTTCTCTGAATCTCTTCATAAATGTTACTTTGCTCACACTCTAGCATCATGTCAAATCATAAAAGACTCTACATATGCTCACTATTCTTCACTGTTGTGGTGTTGTATGAGGAATGTGGTGAGGGAAGTGTAAGACTACCTTTCCCATTCCCTTCCTCATACAGTATAGCACAACACTTTACTTGTGCTCTCCTTCCACTCCCCTTTTAAGGCGGAGGTTCCTTGAAACCAGTGAACTATAGAACCAAGGAATTGAAGCTACCTGGAGAGAGTTCCGGGGGTCAACACCCCTGCGGCCCGGTCTGTGACCAAGCCTCATGGTGGATCAGGGCCTGATCAGCCAGGCTGTTACTGCTGATTCATTTCTTTGAAATGAACCTGATGGCCTCCCACTCTCAAAGTACTGTATGACCCCTTTTGTTAAGTTTTTCTCCACTATAAGAATAATAATAAAAAATCTCTTAACCCGTAATTGTTATGGCTAGAGGCTAGAGGGGCATTTGCCCTCTCGCATGTCACAGCAAAATTTCACATATGGCTCAAGTGTTTATACCCTGTAAAAACATAGTGGCCACCTTACTAATATACCAGTGTGTCTAGATACACAAGCACAGGCAGGGCCAGGAGCTGAGTCTCGACCCCTGCAACTACAATTAGGTGAGTACAGGTAGCTTTAAATACAATAGGACCCCCATATCGGCAGGGAATATGTTCGAAGGACCTGCTGTGAATATTGAAGCCACTGATAGTAGAATATTCTATATATAAGTCCTATGCATACCTATTATAAAGTTTTTTTTATTATTAACACACTGGCTGATTCCCACCAAGGCAGGGTGGCCCGAAAAAGAAAAACTTTCACCATCATTCACTCCATCACTGTCTTGCCAGAAGGGTGCTTTACACTACAGTTTTTAAACTGCAACATTAACACCTCTCCTTCAGAGTGCAGGCACTGTACTTCCCATCTCCAGGACTCAAGTCCGGCCTGCCGGTTTCCCTGAATCCCTTCATAAATGTTACCTTGCTCACACTCCAACAGCATGTCAAGTATTAAAAATCATTTGTCTCCATTCACTCCTATCAAACACGCTCACGCATGCCTGCTGGAAGTCCAAGCCCCTCACACACAAAACCTCCTTTACCCCCTCCCTCCAACCTTTCCTAGGCCGACCCCTACCCCGCCTTCCTTCCACTACAGACTGATACACTCTTGAAGTCATTCTGTTTCACACTGTAAGTGGAAAATTATCACTTTTTCACTAATGAGAAGTACTTCATGGCTTCTCTTAGGCTCTGATGATCTGGCAGCTTCTCTACTTAAATGGTTTGGGGCCATTATGATCCAAAATTAAGAGGTATTTTTGAGCCACAGTAAACCAACTGAAACTGCAGATACTGAATTAGTGGATACAGGGGGTTCTACTGTATATTTTCTTCATCTTGGTATGTTTTAATTTCTTTATATAGCCTGTGAGCGGCAAGATGTACATGAAGGAACTGGAAGATCTGGGGATAAACGTGAAGGCCAAAAATTTCTTGGTGTTCCAGGGAGCAATAGAGTCCATAGCGATGAAGAATCCCAAGGAGAGAACAGTGCTCTTTGAAGAAATGTGCGGGTAAGACTCTGTGAGATGATTACTTATACTGTCTGCTATCTTTGCATTAAGCAGTTGGAGGTGTAATTTGCAATCTAGATTATGTATCCTGTTATAAGGGCGCCCCACTTTACAGTGCTTCTCTTTACAGCGTTTCACTAATACAGCAGTTTTCAGTTATACCGATTCTTCATTTATTCAGACTTCCTCCAAGCTAAGAACAAAAATATTTTAAAGTAATGTGTGTATTGTATATGCATTTTTTAGGCTTAGCTCCATTACTCACTTAAAATATGATAGTGTAAATTAATTAGCAGGCTTTTATATGCATCTGAAAGTGAAAAGGTTGAATTTTGTTTTACAGCGCCTTTCACTCTACACCAATAGCCCAGAACCTAACCTGCTGTATAAGTGGGGCCCTACGGTAACTGAAGGTGTAATTTGAAGTCTTGCTTGCATGTTGTGTTATTGTAATTTGTCTATACGTATCTTTTTATCTCTTATCTGTTTTATGAAGAATATTCCCTACAAGGGAGGGTCCTTGATGCTTGTTAGGGGCTCTTGATCTAGGGCAGTGTTATTCACTAATTTTTGCAAGAGAGCCACTTCGGTTAAACACATTGAGAGAGTCGCAACTACTGCAAGTTAGCGTAACTCAACTGAATTAAGTAGTACTGAGCTGCTGGTGCAATATAGTAAATGAGAAAAAGTAGACACGAGCCGTGAATTGAGTCATCGCGAGCTGCACAATGAACACCACTGATCTAGGGACTTGGATCTGAGCTCCAGGTCCTTGAATTGAACCTGAATACCTTCCATCACCCCCTCCCCCCTTATGGGCGCTGTATAATCCCTACGGGTTTAGCGCTCCCCATGATCATAATATGAAGAATGCTGAAAGAGTATCAACAACCTTCTTCAAAGTAGAGAGAAAATATCTATTAAAAGAGTATTAGGTGAGTGTAAATAGGTATGATGTCTCTCACACAAAGCAGACATAAGGTCGAGTCTCCATTTATGGCCACTCTTAATTATGATATTTTTTTTAACACCAGCCATTTCCCACTAAGGTAGGAGGACCCAGCAAATGAGTTTATTTTTTTGACAACCTGTATAATAGTAATAATTAGGCCTTGTAACCTCTCCTCCTATAAAAATTATCGAACATAAGGAGTAGAGTATTATTATTATCACACTGGCCGATTCCCACCAAGGCAGGGTGGCCCGAAAAAGAAAAACTTTCACCATCATTCACTCCATCACTGTTTTGCCAGAAGGGTGCTTTACACTACAGTTTTTAAACTGCAACATTAACACCCCTCCTTCAGAGTGCAGGCACTGTACTTCCCATCTCCAGGACTCAAGTCCGGCCTGCCGGTTTCTCTGAACCCCTTCGTAAATGTTACCTTGCTCACACTCCAACAGCACGTCAAGTATTAAAAACCATTTGTCTCCATTCACTCCTATCAAACACACTCACGCATGCTTGCTGGAAGTCCAAGCCCCTTGCACACAAAACCTCCTTTACCCCCTCCCTCCAACCTTTCCTAGGCCGACCCCTACCCCGCCTTCCTTCCACTACAGACTGATACACTCTTGAAGTCACTCTGTTTCGCTCCATTCTCTCTACATGTCCGAACCACCTCAACAACCCTTCCTCAGCCCTCTGGACAACAGTTTTGGTAATCCCGCACCTCCTCCTTACTTCCAAACTACGAATTCTCTGCATTATATTCACACCACACATTGCCCTCAGACATGACATCTCCACTGCCTCCAGCCTTCTCCTCGCTGCAACATTCATCACCCATGCTTCACACCCATATAAGAGCGTTGGTAAAACTATACTCTCATACATTCCCCTCTTTGCCTCCAAGGACAAAGTTCTTTGTCTCCACAGACTCCTAAGTGCACCACTCACCCTTTTCCCCTCATCAATTCTATGATTCACCTCATCTTTCATAGACCCATCCACTGACACATCCACTCCCAAATATCTGAATACATTCACCTCCTCCATACTCTCTCCCTCCAATCTGATATCCAATCTTTCATCACCTAATCTTTTAGTTATCCTCATAACCTTACTCTTTCCTGTATTCACTTTTAATTTTCTTCTTTTGCACACCCTACCAAATTCATCCACCAATCTCTGCAACTTCTCTTCAGAATCTCCCAAGAGCACAGTGTCATCAGCAAAGAGCAACTGTGACAACTCCCACTTTATGTGTGATTCTTTATCTTTTAACTCCACGCCTCTTGCCAAGACCCTCGCATTTACTTCTCTTACAACCCCATCTATAAATATATTAAACAACCATGGTGACATCACACATCCTTGTCTAAGGCCTACTTTTCCTGGGAAATAATTTCCCTCTTTCCTACATACTCTAACTTGAGCCTCACTATCCTTGTAAAAACTCTTCACTGCTTTCAGTAACCTACCTCCTACACCATACACCTGCAACATCTGCCACATTGCCCCCCTATCCACCCTGTCATACGCCTTTTCCAAATCCATAAATGTCACAAAGACCTCTTTAGCCTTATCTAAATACTGTTCACTTATATGTTTCACTGTAAACACCTGGTCCACACATCCCCTACCTTTCCTAAAGCCTCCTTGTTCATCTGCTATCCTATTCTCCGTCTTACTCTTAATTCTTTCAATAATAACTCTACCATACACTTTACCAGGTATACTCAGCAGACTTATCCCCCTATAATTTTTGCACTCTTTTGTCCCCTTTGCCTTTATACAAAGGAACTATGCATACCATACCCCCGGCCGGGATTGAACCCGCGGTCATAGAGTCTCAAAACTCCAGCCCGTCGCTTTAGCCACTGCTCTCTGCCAGTCCCTAGGTACCTTACCCTCTTCCATACATTTATTAAATAATTGCACCAATCACTCCAAAACTATATCCCCACCTGTTTTTAACATTTCTAGCTTTATCCCATCGATCCCGGCTGCCTTACCCCCTTGCATTTTACCTACTGCCTCACGAACTTCCCCCACACTCACAACTGGCTCTTCCTCACTCCTACAAGATGTTATTCCTCCTTGCCTTATAAACGAAATCACAGCTTCCCTATCTTCATCAACATTTAACAATTTCTCAAAATATTCCCTCCATCTTCCCAATACCTCTAACTCTCCATTTAATAACTCTCCTCTCCTATTTTTAACTGACAAATCCATTTGTTCTCTAGGCTTCCTTAACTTTGTTAATCTCACTCCAAAACTTTTTCTTATTTTCAACAAAATTTGTTGATAACTCACCCACTCTCTCATTTGCTCTGTTTACATTGCTTCACCACTCTCTTAACCTCTCTCTTTTTCTCCATATACTCTTCCCTCCTTGCATCACTTCTACTTTGTAAAAACTTCTCATATGCTAACTTTTTCTCCCTTACTACTCTCTTTACATCATCATTCCACCAATCGCTCCTCTTCCCTCCCGCATCCACTTTCCTGTAACCACAAACTTCTGCTGAACACTCTAACACTACATTTTTAAACCTACCCCATACCTCTTCGACCCCATTGCCTATGCTCTCATTAGCCCATCTATCCTCCAGTAGCTGTTTATATCTTACCCTAACTGCCTCCTCTTTTAGTTTATAAACCTTCACCTCTCTCTTCCCTGATGCTTCTATTCTCCTTGTATCCCATCTACCTTTTACTCTCAGTGTAGCTACAACTAGAAAGTGATCTGATATATCTGTGGCCCCTCTTTAAACATGTATATCCTGAAGTCTACTCAACAGTCTTTGATCTACTAATACATAATCCAACAAACTACTGTCATTTCACCCTACATCATATCTTGTATACTTATTTATCCTCTTTTTCTTAAAATATGTATTACCTATAACTAAACCCCTTTCTATACAAAGTTCAATCAAAGGGCTCCCATTATCATTTATGCCTGGCACCCCAAACTTACCTACCACACCCTCTCTAAAAGTTTCTCCTACTTTAGCATTCAGGTCCCCTACCACAATTACTCTCTCACTTGGTTCAAAGGCTCCTATACATTCACTTAACATCTCCCAAAATCTCTCTCTCTCCTCTACATTCCTCTCTTCTCCAGGTGCATACACGCTTATTATGACCCACTTTTCGCATCCAACCTTTACTTTCATCCACATAATTCTTGAATTTACACATTCATATTCTCTTTTCTTCTTCCATAACTGATCCTTCAACATTACTGCCACCCCTTCCTTTGCTCTAACTCTCTCAGATACCCCAGATTTAATCCCATTTATTTCCCCCCACCGAAACTCCCCTAGCCCCTTCAGCTTTGTTTCGCTTAGGGCCAGGACATCCAACTTCTTTTCATTCATAACATCAATCATCTGTTTCTTGTCATCCGCACTACATCCACGCATATTCAAGCATCCCAGTTTTATAAAGTTTTTCTTCTTCTCTTTTTTAGTAAATGTCTACAGGAGAAGGGGTTACTAGCCCATTCCTCCCGGCATTTTAGTCGCCTCATACGACACGCATGGCTTACGGAGGAAAGATTCTTTTCCACTTCCCCATGGACAATAGAAGAAATAAAGAAGAACAAGAGCTATTTAGAAAAAGGAGAAAAACCTAGATCTTTCTTTCAACACACCGGCCGTATCCCACCGAGGCGGGGTGGCCCAAAAGGAAAAACGAAAGTTTCTCCTTTTACATTTAGTAATATATACAGGAGAAGAGGTTACTAGCCCCTTGCTCCCGGCATTTTAGTTGCCTCTTACAACACGCATGGCTTACGGAGGAAGAATTCTGTTCCACTTCCCCATGGAGATAAGAGGAAATAAACAAGAATAAGAACTAGAAAGAAAATAGAAGAAAACCCAGAGGGGTGTGTATATATGTGCTTGTACATGTATGTGTAGTGTGACCTAAGTGTAAGTAGAAGTAGCAAGACGTACCTGAAATCTTGCATGTTCATGAGACAGAAAAAAGGACACCAGCAATCCTACCATCATGCAAAACAGTTACAGGTTTCTGTTTCACAGTCATCTGGCAGGACGGTAGTACTTCCCTGGGTGGTTGCTGTCGCTGTAGAGTATATGGAGAGTAAAAGAAAGGTGAAGAGAATGGTGAGAGAGTGCAAAAGGAGAGCAGATGATAGAGTGGGAGAGGCACTGTCAAGAAATTTTAATGAAAATAAGAAAAATTTTTGGAGTGAATTAAACAAGATAAGAAAGCCTAGGGAATGAATGGATTTGTCAGTTAAAAACAGAGTAGGGGAATATGTTTCAAGCCAAATTTAATATTTTATTACAAAAGATTCTGCATTGACCATAGAAGCCTCTGTATATCTTCTTTCAAAACACCGGCCATATCCCACCGAGGCGGGGTGGCCCAAAAGGAAAAACGAAAGTTTCTTCTTTTACATTTAGTAATATATACAAGAGAAGGGGTTACTAGCCCCTTGCTCCTGGCATTTTAGTCGCTTCTTACAACATGCATAGCTTACGGAGGAAGAATTCTGTTCCACTTCCCCGTGGAGAGACTGTATACGTATATTTATTGTAATTTTATCACTCATTCGCTCGTTTGTTTTTAAAGGCCTATTTTGTTTGTCAATCGATAGATGTTATGATCAGGTGTTTTGCTGTACCACGTTGTACAGAAAGTTGTTAATACAGTACAGGGATTTTTTTTATTACCAGGTCTGTGGGGCTGAAAAGAGAATATGACAGGTTGAAGGCTGAGATGCTGCAGGCCGAACTGGATACCAGTTTTACATACAAGAAGAAAAAAGGGATCACAGCTGAACGTAAGGAAGTTGAGCACGACAAGGAGGAAGCTGAGAAGTACCAGAGGTTAAAGAATGAACTGGTAAGCTCAATTACAGGAGGGCCTCTCCTATACAGCACCTATTTTCAGTGTTCCATGTTTTCATTGGCTTTCAATTGAGTTGTTGTTGTATACTGAAATAAAACCATTATCATTACTAAATTATACTAATTGTAATACTGTTATTTGTTTTTTGCTACCTCACTATTATAAATCTTATTAATTATAAAAAATTTTATTACCTACATAACCATGGGTTTTTAACATGCACTCAAGTGTCACCCATTTCTGTATAAACAGTGTATCATGTTGCAATAAACTTTATTTTTATATAACGTGCTGGCTGTCTCCCGCTGAGCCAGGGTGACCCAAAAAAGAAACACTTTTACCATCATTCATACTATCACTGTCTTTTCAGAGGTACACTGATATGACAGTTTAGATGTCACTTTAAACAGCACATATCCTAAACTCCTCCTTTAAAGTGCAGGCACTGTACTTCCCACCTCCAGGACTCAAGTCTGGCTAACCAGGTTCCCTGAATCCCTTCACAAAATATTACCCTGCTCACACTCCACAGCTCGTCAAGTCCCAAAAACTGTTCGTCTCCATTCACTCCTATCTAACACACTAACACATGCCTGTATTTGCAATAAGAAATATGAATTAAATCACAGAATGGGTAGGGCTTGATCCCATGTACAGTGGACCCCCGCATAACGATATTATTTCAATCCAGAAGTCTGTTTAGGTGCCGTTATAGACTGAATTTGTTCCCATAAGAAATATTGTGAATTAGATTAGTCCTTTTCAGACCCCTAAAAATACACCTACAAAAGCACTTACAAAAATAAACTTACATAATTGGTCGAGTTGGGAGCTGATCGTTATCCGGGGGTCCACTGTATTTCACTTGAGTCAATATTCTCTGCTGGACAGTGGCTGATGTGATTAAATACTTGTTGAAGGCTGTGAATGCTGCTTCAGTAAATGTTTTGGAAGTTCCCTGAGAGAAACCATTGTTATTGCAACATAGAGGTTGTGCTGACAAACACTTTTCAAAACTGATTACATACATAGTATTTTAATCTCAGTGGCTATGTCCAGCCAAGGAAGGATGACCTCAAAGAAGAAAATACATTCACCATCATTCATACAATTGCTGTCTTGCCAAAAGTGTGCTGACCATCACTTTTCAAATTGCCCTCCGACTGCAATGTCCCCCACCCCTACTACCGTCCCACCTCTAGGACTTGAAATCCAGCTAACCAGTTTCCCTGAATTACTTCATAAAAGTTACTTATTCACACTCATTAAAAAAACCACTCTTAGCACACTCACACACAAGCCTGCTAGATGCTCAAGCCCCCAAAACTCAAAGCTTCTTTGACCCCCTCCCTCCAACCTTCTACCCCAGATTTATACACTTGTCATCCTGTGTCTTAACCCCTTCAACTCAACTCTGAATTATGCCCTTGGTGACCCCATATTGATTTTTTTTTTCAATGAACCATCTGTATCCCATTGAGGCAAAGTGATCTAAAATTAAAAAAAAAAGTCTTTTAAATTTATTAATTTATACAGGAGACGTGGTTACTAGCCCCTTGCTCCTGGCATTTTAGTCATCTCTTATGACACGCATGGCTGATGGAGGAAGACTCCTGTTTCACTTCCCCATGGAGATAAAAAGAAATAAAGAAGAACAAGAACTATTAAGAAAATAAAAGAAAATCCAGATGGGTGTGCAAATGTATATGCATGTACATGCGTGTGTAGTGTCACCTAAGTGTGAGTAGAAGTAGCAAGATATACCTGATATCAATCCAGCTTGATGATTATTATTATTATTATTATTATTATTATTATTATTGTGTGACATGCTTTTATTGGTATTGTTCTATTTACATAAACTGATCATTCCAATATTTTTTAATGGCAGAGAGACAAAAAATGGGATCTACAGCTATTTCGTCTATTTCACAACGAAAGGGAAATTGGCGAGCTTAAACGAGACTTGGAGAAGATGAAGACAGATCTCCAGAAAAGGAAGCAGAATAAAGAAAAGGCAGAGGAAGCAGTGAAAGAAAAGAAAAAAGAAAGAAGCCCCATGTCTGCAGAAATGGCCAAAATGGAAGAGAAAATCAGAGAGATGGTAGGGAATTACGTACCTTTTCAGTTTGTTTGAGGTGGGGGCGGGTGGGATCCAGCTCTTGGTCATCATCATCAGTTTATGAGTACCTCCTTGAGATTGTGCAGGTGAGGTAGGTGAGCTCTGGCTCTTTCCACTGACTGATGTGATTGAACTCTTGTGATGTCTTTTTAAGCTTCCTCTATTGAGTCCAGATCCATTGCATTTTTACTTAACTCGTTCCATTTACCTATTCTTTTTTTTTAACACACCACCCATCTACCACTGAGCTAGGGTGACCTAAAAAAGAGGAAATGCTTCACTGTCATTCAGTCAATCACTGTCTTGCCAGACGTGTTCTGACATCACAGTTCAGATGACTCTCTGCACTGTAACACTACCAATGGAAATAAACCAGTTCGACCTTTTTGGGTTTATGTAATTTACATACGTTATTTTGTATGATAATTGTCCTTGTATGGACCTCTACCTAAATAAACTTATACTCGTATGTTGAGGTGATACTTCTTAAAATTTCCATGATTTAATTTTTTTGGGGCAAGTGTGTGAATGATTGGGATTCATGAAGGCACTTGCTACGAGTGCTTGATATCGGGGAGGGTGGATTGGACATGATGTCCTGGTGCTCATCACTTACTACTCCTACCTACCCTAACAGAGTGAGAGAGGTACATCTTGAGGGAGGTGGCAAGGGAGGGCATGCATGGTCAGCAGAAGTTGGGTTGGGAAAAGTATGAGCCTAGTTACTTTGTTAGGTTGGACTGCCTTGAGATGTCATAGTTGGGATTCCCTGTTTCTGCCTAATTTTGTTACCCTTAATACCTACATTTCACCTACTGTCTCATTTTTAAATTGTTTCTGATTCCTGGGTGCCTGAAGTCACAATTTTTGGATACCCCTTTATAATAATGGATATTATCACATATATTATCACACTGGCCGATTCCCACCAAGGCAGGGTGGCCCGAAAAAGAAAAACTTTCACCATCATTCACTCCATCACTGTCTTGCCAGAAGGGTGCTTTACACTACAGTTTTTAAACTGCAACATTAGCACCCCTCCTTCAGAGTGCAGGCACTGTACTTCCCATCTCCAGGACTCAAGTCCGGCCTGCCGGTTTCCCTGAATCCCTTCATAAATGTTACTTTGCTCACACTCCAACAGCACGTCAAGTATTAAAAACCATTTGTCTCCATTCACTCCTATCAAACACGCTCACGCATGCCTGCTGGAAGTCCAAGCCCCTCGCACACAAAACCTCCTTTACCCCCTCCCTCCAACCCTTCCTAGGCCGACCCCTACCCCGCCTTCCTTCCACTACAGACTGATACACTCTTGAAGTTATTCTCTCTCGCTCCATTCTCTCTACATGTCCGAACCACCTCAACAACCCTTCCTCAGCCCTCTGGACAACAGTTTTGGTAATCCCGCACCTCCTCCTAACTTCCAAACTACGAATTCTCTGCATTATATTCACACCACACATTGCCCTCAGACATGACATCTCCACTGCCTCCAGCCTTCTCCTCGCTGCAACATTCATCACCCATGCTTCACACCCATATAAGAGCGTTGGTAAAACTATACTCTCATACATTCCCCTCTTTGCCTCCAAGGACAAAGTTCTCTGTCTCCACAGACTCCTAAGTGCACCATCTCACTCTTTTTCCCTCATCAATTCTATGATTCACCTCATCTTTCATAGACCCATCCGCTGACACGTCCCTCCCAAATATCTGAATACGTTCACCTCCTCCATACTCTCTCCCTCCAATCTGATATTCAATCTTCATCACCTAATCTTTTTGTTATCCTCATAACCTTACTCTTTCCTGTATTCACTTTAATTTTCTTCTTTTGCACACCCTACCAAATTCATCCACAATCTCTGCAGCTTCTCTTCAGAATCTCCCAAGAGCACAGTGTCATCAGCAAAGAGCAGCTGTGACAACTCCCACCCTGTGTGTGATTCTTTATCTTTTAACTCCACGCCTCTTGCCAAGACCCTCGCATTTACTTCTCTTACAACCCCATCTATAAATATATTAAACAACCACGGTGACATCACACATCCCTGTCTAAGGCCTACTTTTACTGGGAAAAAATTTCCCTCTTTTCTACATACTCTAACTTGAGCCTCACTATCCTCGTAAAAACTCTTCACTGCTTTCAGTAACCTACCTCCTACACCATACACTTGCAACATCTGCCACATTGCCCCCCTATCCACCCTGTCATACGCCTTTTCCAAATCCATAAATGCCACAAAGACCTCTTTAGCCTTATCTAAATACTGTTCACTTATATGTTTCACTGTAAACACCTGGTCCACACACCCCCTACCTTTCCTAAAGCCTCCTTGTTCATCTGCTATCCTATTCTCCGTCTTACTCTTAATTCTTTCAATTATAATTCTACCATACACTTTACCAGGTACACTCAACAGACTTATCCCCCTATAATTTTTGCACTCTCTTTTATCCCCTTTGCCTTTATACAAAGGAACTATGCATGCTCTCTGCCAATCCCTAGGTACCTTACCCTCTTCCATACATTTATTAAATAATTGCACCAACCACTCCAAAACTATATCCCCACCTGCTTTTAAATTTCTATCTTTATCCCATCAATCCGGCTGCCTTACCCCCTTTCATTTTACCTACTGCCTCACGAACTTCCCCCACACTCACAACTGGCTCTTCCTCACTCCTACAAGATGTTATTCCTCCTTGCCCTATACACGAAATCACAGCTTCCCTATCTTCATCAACATTTAACAATTCCTCAAAATATTCCCTCCATCTTCCCAATACCTCTAACTCTCCATTTAATAACTCTCCTCTCCTATTTTTAACTGACAAATCCATTTGTTCTCTAGGCTTCCTTAACTTGTTAATCTCACTCCAAAACTTTTTCTTATTTTCAACAAAATTTGTTGATAACAGCTCACCCACTCTCTCATTTGCTCTCTTTTTACATTGCTTCACCACTCTCTTAACCTCTCTCTTTTTCTCCATATACTCTTCCCTCCTTGCATCACTTCTACTTTGTAAAAACTTCTCATATGCTAACTTTTTCTCCCTTACTACTCTCTTTACATCATCATTCCACCAATCGCTCCTCTTCCCTCCTGCACCCACTTTCCTGTAACCACAAACTTCTGCTGAACACTCTAACACTACATTTTTAAACCTACCCCATTCCTCTTCGACCCCATTGCCTATGCTCTCATTAGCCCATCTATCCTCCAATAGCTGTTTATATCTTACCCTAACTGCCTCCTCTTTTAGTTTATAAACCTTCACCTCTCTCTTCCCTGATGCTTCTATTCTCCTTGTATCCCATCTACCTTTTACTCTCAGTGTAGCTACAACTAGAAAGTGATCTGATATATCTGTGGCCCCTCGATAAACATGTACATCCTGAAGTCTACTCAACAGTCTTTTATCTACTATTACATAATCCAACAAACTACTATCATTTCGCCCTACATCATATCGTGTATACTTATTTATCCTCTTTTTCTTAAAATATGTATTACCTATAACTAAACCCCTTTCTATACAAAGTTCAATCAAAGGGCTCCCATTATCATTTACACCTGGCACCCCAAACTTACCTACCACACCCTCTCTAAAAGTTTCTCCTACTTTAGCATTCAGGTCCCCTACCACAATTACTCTCTCACTTGGTTCAAAGGCTCCTATACATTCACTTAACATCTCCCAAAATCTCTCTCTCTCCTCTGCATTCCTCTCTTCTCCAGGTGCATACACGCTTATTATGACCCACTTCTCGCATCCAACCTTTACTTTAATCCACATAATTCTCGAATTTACACATTCATATTCTCTTTTCTCCTTCCATAACTGATCATTTAACATTACTGCTACCCCTTCCTTTGCTCTAACTCTCTCAGATACTCCAGATTTAATCCCATTTATTTCCCCCCACTGAAACTCTCCTACCCCCTTCAGCTTTGTTTCGCTTAGAGCCAGGACATCCAACTTCTTTTCATTCATAACATCAGCAATCATCTGTTTCTTGTCATCCGCACTACATCCACGCACATTTAAACAACCCAGTTTTATAAAGTTTTTCTTCTTCTCTTTTTTAGTAAATGTATACAGGAGAAGGGGTTACTAGCCCATTGCTCCCGGCATTTTAGTCGCCTCATACGACACGCATGGCTTACGGAGGAAAGATTCTTTTCCACTTCCCCATGGACAATAGAAGAAATAATAAAGAACAAGAGCTATTTAGAATAAGGAGAAAAACCTAGATGTATGTATATATATATATGCATGTGCGTGTCTGTGAAGTGTGACCAAAGTGTAAGTAGGAGTAGCAAGATATCCCTGTTATCTAGCGTGTTTATGAGACAGAAAAAGAAAACCAGCAATCCTACCATCATGCAAAACAGTTACAGGTTTTTGTTTCACAGTCATCTGGCAGGACGGTAGTACTTCCCTGGGTGGTTGCTGTCTACCAACCTACTACCTATATTATCCCTATATTTTTTTTTTCAACAAACCAGCCGTATCCCACCAAGGCAGGGTGGCCCAAAAAGAAAAACGGAAGTTTCTCTTTTTAAATTTAGTAATTTATACAGAAGGGGTTACTAGCCCCTTGCTCCCGGCATTTTAGTTGACTCTTACAACACGCATAGCTTACAGAGGAAGAATTCTGTTCCACTTCCCCATAGAGATAAGAGGAAATTAACAAGGAAAAGAACTAGTAAGAAAATAGAAGAAAACCCAGAGGGGTGTGTATATATATGCTTGTACATGCAAGTACAATGCCTGCACTTTAAAGGAGTGGTTTGGGATATTGGCAGTTTGGAGGGATATGTTGTGTATCTTTATACGTATATGCTTCTAAACTGTTGTATTCTGAGCACCTCTGCAAAAGCAGTGATAATGTGTGAGTGTGGTGAAAGTGTTGAATGATGATGAAAGTATTTTCTTTTTGGGGATTTTCTTTCTTTTTTGGGTCACCCTGCCTCGGTGGGAGACGACCGACTTGTAGAAAAAAAAAAAAAAACATGCAAGTGTAGTGTGACCTAAGTGTAAGTAGAAGTAACAAGACATACCTGAAATCTTGCATGTTTCTTCTTTCAACACACCGGCCGTATCCCACCGAGGCGGGGTGGCCCAAAAGAGAAAACGAAAGTTTCTCCTTTTACATTTAGTAATATATACAGGAGAAGGGGTTACTAGCACCTTGCTCCTGGCATTTTAGTCGCCTCTTACAACACGCATGGCTTACGGAGGAAGAATTCTGATCCACTTCCCCATGGAGATAAGAGGAAATAGACAAGAACAAGAACTAGAAAGAAAATAGAAGAAAACCCAGAGGGGTATGTATATATAAATGCTTGTACATGTATGTGTAGTGTGACCTAAGTGTAAGTAGAAGTAGCAAGACATACCTGAAATCTTGCATGTTTATGAGACAGAAAAAAAGACACCAGCAATCCTACCATCGTGTAAAACAATTACAGGCTTTCGTTTTACACTCACTTGGCAGGACGGTAGTACCTCCTTGGGCAGTTGCTGTCTACCAACCTTCTACCTCTATTATCCCTTTATCTTATCTATATATTTTTTTGATGGGATCTTTACTGTCTTTGGTCCTATAATTTCTAGTGTTACATCTTAGATATCTTGTTCCATATTTTTTTTATTTTTTTTTTTTACATTTGTGAAATTACAGGCTGAGCTGAAAACACTACCACTGAGTTTAAATGCCACTCTCACGACTACCTTTGTCAACCTCTTTGTGTATGTCACCTTTCCAGGTTACCAGTTCTCCACTCTTTAGTTAACTTTTGTGTGTGTCACCTTTCCAAGTTACCAGTCCTCCACTCCTCTGTAAACCTTTTGTATATGTCATCTTTCCGGGTTACGAGTGATAATGATGTGATGGATAGAGATGAGATTGTTCAGCCTTGATCATCATAATATTGTTTAACCTTGGTCATCATAATATTGTTAAACCTAGATCATTGTAATATTGTTTTGCCTTGATCATAATATTGTTTAGCCATGATCATAATATTGGACTTTTCTGTAACCAGTAGACTTTGTCCATTGTTTCCAAATCAGTTGACCTGTATTACCAGAGTACATTAAATTGAGGGCCATTAAATCAAGAATTTATTATATTTGCACTTACCTAGTTGAACTTGTGGGGAAAAGGGAGGGTATACTTGAGCTCATTATATGCAGCAACATATCTGGAGTACACTCTATCATATGTTGTAAAATGATTATTTTCTTATATATTTGAAAGTGGGCTAGTAACCCCTTCTGTATAAATTACTAAATTTAAAAAGAAAAACTTTCGTTTTTCTTTGTGGGTTACCTTCCTCGGTGGGATATGGCCAGAGTGTTGAAAATAAACAAAGTACGTATTTGAAGATTGAGACATTTATGCAACATATGGGAATCTTTATTAAGGAAATGTTTCACCACACAGTGACTTCATCAGTCCAATACAATGTGTTCAGTCCATCATTCTTGTAGAAAAGTGCAGCATATGGCCAGAGAAGTGGTGAATCGAAGCAGGAGGTGGTGAGATCACAGTGGAATCATCCACTAGTGTAAGTAGGTCATCGTCCAAAGGTTGGACAAGTATTGAAGAATTCCTTGTATCAAGATCCCATGATCTTGATACATGATGAAGCCACTGTGTGGCAAAACGTTTACTTAATAAAGGTTCCCATATGTTGAATAAGTGTCCCAATCTTCAACTTATTGGTTTTCAAACCAAAAAAAGTATTTGAAAGTTTAAGAATGTAGGAGGATTGCAAGACTATGTGGTAATGTGGAGTTATTATATTCATGTGAACTACAAAACCTATAAGAGATATAGAGCACCTTGAGAACGAGAAATAATCAGGTTTGATCTGGGGAAGTGGAGAGTAGCTCTAGCTCCTTGGATCATAAGCCTTTAAGGGAAGTCTTGTAAGGAAATTTTTCATGTTCAGATGTTTTGTTCCTTCTTTTTCGCATCACCTTGCCCTGGTGGGAAACAGCCGAGTATTAAAAAAAAATGTAATACTTTGATCTCTGCATTATGTATTAGTGTGCAGCAATTTAGGATAACAGTAATTTGTAATTTAGCACATTTTTTAGCAAGATTTAAATTTCTGGAATTGTTCTTAAGAAATTAAGGCCAATTGTTACTCCTCTATAATAGGTTATACTCCCTTGACAGGAAACTGAAGTAAATAAAAAAAGAATGGCTGTTATTAGTGCCAAGGTAAAAACAGCTCACCTACAGAAGACTATCGAAATGGACCGCAAGTCACTTTCCCAGGCCACGAAGGCACACCACTCTCACGCTGACACCATCAAAGATTTGGAGGAGAAACTAGAGGAAGTACAGAAGAAAAGGGCCGAGTTTGAAGTTAAGATCTCTGAGGAAACTGAGAGTCAGGGTGTGTATGCTTTTGAGTCTTCAGAGACCATTAGAGTATATAGGCTGTGTGTAAAGTTAGTCTCTCAGACATTTGCAGCCAAACTCAGCAGACAAGCCTGGCACTAGCAGACTTTCTGTGACATAATCATAGCAAAAGATGTTTATGCACTGATCAAGATATAATGTATCCCTGTCAAAGTCCTACTTTCATTGCTACCATTGGTATATAATGCATCATTTTCAAAGTCCTACTTTCATTGCCACCATTGGTACATAATGCATCCTTTTCAAAGTCCTACTTTCATTGCTACCATTGGTACATAATGCATCCCTTTCAAAGTCCTATTTTCATTGTTACCATTGGTACATAATGCATCCCTTTCAAAGTCCTTCTTTCATTGCCTCCATTGGGTGCATTCAGTTATCATTTCATCAAGGATTGGTGCTGTCCTCCCCTGACTCACATTTCAACTTGCATCTTTTCTTGCTATTTCGTTACAGGCAAAAGTATCGAGCTAGAAGAAGCAAAAGTCAGAGAGTATAACCAACTAAAGAGCACTGCAGCAGCCCAGTCAGCACAGTACATACAGGAGCTGGCCTCTCTTAACCGAGAGCAGAAACTGGACCAAGATCGCCTCAGTAATACCCAGCGGTGTATCTCTGAGATCGAGCATAAAGTGGAACGAAAGGGACACGAGAAAGAAGAGGCACAGAAGAGATTAGAAAAGTTAACTGAGTACATAGATCAGTCTGAAGCAACACTGGAGGATCAGAAGAGGATAAGACAGGTATAGTATATCCAGTGTATCAGGATGAAAAGTTAACTGAGTACATAGATCAGTCAGAAACAACACTGGTATAGTATATCTGGTGTGCTAGGATGCTGTGATAAGTCATATGTAAATACCAGTTCTCTGCCATCCTTTCACATTATTCTAAAATTATTTTATGTAGTATAATGTTATTACTAGGAGCAAGTGGCAAGTAACCCCTTCTTATAAATTACTAAATTTAAAAGAGAAACTTGTTTTTCTTTTTAGGTCACCCTACCTCAGTGGGATGTGGCTGGTTTGTTGAAAAAAAATTGTTATTGTTGCTCTGTTATACAGTGGACCCCCGGTTAACGATATTTTTTCACTCCAGAAGTATGTTCAGGTGCCAGTACTGACCGAATTTGTTCCCATAAGAAATATTGTGAAGTAGATTAGTCCATTTCAGACCCCCAAACATACACGTACAAACGCACTTACATAAATACACTTACATAATTGGTCGCATTCGGAGGTAATCGTTATGCGGGGGTCCACTGTATATTTATACATCAGATCTTTTTTCTTTAATAGGAATTGGCAGACAATGTTACACAAAGCAATGAAAGATTAGAGGTGATCAAGCAGGAACTGGAGAGTGTAACTCAACAGCTGGATGAAGCTCAGACATCCCACCATGATGCTGTCAACCGGAGTAAACAGCAGGAGGTTGTTGAAAAACTTCAGCAGCTGTATCCTGGTGTTTATAACCGTATGGTTAATTTGTGTCATCCCATTCATGAAAGGTACTTATTTTTTTCTTTTAGCGTTGTCTGTCTCCCACCGAGGTAGGGTGGCCCGAAATTGAAGAAACACTTTTACTTCATAAAAGTTATTCAAACTCCAACAGTATGTCAAGTAAAACTATTGTCTCCATTCACACCTATCTAACATGCTTACATGAGCCTGCTGGATGCTCAAGCCCCTAAAACTCTTGTACCCCCCTCCCCCCCATGCAACCATTCCTGGAATGACTCCTTACCCTTTGACCTTTCACCCCAGATTTATACAACCTCTTCATCAGTCTCCCTCTCTTCATGCCTAAATCACCTTAACAACTCCTCAACCCTCTGAATTATACCCTTCATGACCCCATATTGCCTTTTAATTTCTACGCTCCGAATTCTCTGCATGATATTCACACCTCACATTGCCCTTAAGGATGACATCTCCACTGTCTCTAATCTCATTGCAGCATTCAAAATTCATGCATCACACCCTTATAAAAGTGTTGGTACCAATACAATCTGGTACATTCCTTTTTTTTTTTTTTTTACTTCATGGATAAACATTCCACAAATTGCTGGCATGTCTATCCCTATACAGGTCTCCCTCAACATTCGCGAGGGTTAGGGGATCAAGAGCCTCACGAATGTTGAAAAACCGTGAATGTTTGGTGCCCCAATATATTGTAGGGAAATATATTACAATACTGCTTCCTTAACTTGTTGAACCATGAACAATCATAAAATACATGAAAACGTCGTAAATTGTACTAAATATATACATGTTATGCTTTAATAACGTATGTTATTTAATAACATGTATGTTATTAAATACCACAGACTCCACCACTGCGAGTCCCTACTACCCTCCCTCCGACCCCCACAACTGGCAGCCAGCCCTCCCACCACTCAGTGTGGTGAGTGTTTTGTTTGTTCATTATTTGCTATTAAACTACAGAATAAGTAATGTAAACCCATTCATGACTGCATATTGGAATGGCTATTAGGAAAGGTATTAGACGGTGACATCATGTGTTTACTCTTGAACACAGCAAAGAATCGAACATTTCTGCTATTGCTAATAATAACAATAGTAATAATAATAATAATAAATACGATATAATTGAAGAAGGAAATTGTACAAAAATACGAGGGAGTGGTTGACACATCGTCAGTGTGACTTTGTTTATGCTGGAGTGAACATTAGTCTCCCTGCTCTTCCAAACATTTCACAATAATTCAGCGGTTGAGGCAGTGGTATTTAATAACATATATGTTATAAATAATAGTAGTACATGTTATTATTAATTTTTTTTTTTTTTTCAACAAGTCGGCCGTCTCCCACCGAGGCAGGGTGACCCAAAAAAGAAAGAAAATCCCCAAAAAGAAAATACTTTCATCATCATTCAACACTTTCACCACACTCGCACATTATCACTGTTTTTGCAGAGGCGCTCAGAATACAACAGTCTAGAAGCATACACACATAAAGATACACAACATATCCCTCCAAACTGCCAATATCCCAAACCCCTCCTTTAAAGTGCAGGCATTGTACTTCCCATTTCCAGGACTCAAGTCCGACTATATGAAAATAACCGGTTTCCCTGAATCCCTTCACTAAATATTACCCTGCTCACACTTCAACAGATCGTCAGGTCCCAAGTACCATTCGTCTCCATTCACTCCTATCTAACACGCTCACGCACGCTTGCTGGAAGTCCAAGCCCCTTGCCCACAAAACCTCCTTTACCCCCTCTTTCCAACCCTTTCGAGGACGACCCCTACCCCGTATTATTATTAACATGTATGTATTTAATAACATTTATGTTATAAATAATAATAGTACATATTATTAATAACATGTATTATTATTAACATGTATGGTATTAACCCTTTCAGGGTCCGTCCCGTAGATCTACGGCTTTACGGTGAGTGTCCAAACCGTAGATCTACGCCATGAGCTCAGCTCACTCTGATAAACTGTGAGTGGTACATTTGGGCCTAGATATGAGAGAATACATCTATGTGGTATGTGTGCACCACATAAAACAGATCCTGCAGCACACTGTGTATAATGAGAGAAAAAAACTGAAATCATGATTTTTCGATTAAAACAGCAACTTTGCAGTGTTTTTTCGTATGTTTTTTATAGTTGTATTTGCGATTTCTTGGTCTCATTTGATAGAATGGAAGACATATTACAGAAATAGAGATGATTTTGATTGGTTTTAGCACTGGAAATGGCTTGAAACTGAGCTCAAAGTAGCGGAAATGTTAAATTTTTGCCGATATTCAAGAGTAAACAAACGACCTCACACATCTAATACACGTCAGCTGGTGGGTCTAATATACATTCACAAATATGGTGATGATATTTATACAATTATTACAGTATTGCATAACAGTAAATCTTCTATTTTTTGGTGTGAATAAAAATTCATTATGTGAATAAAAAATAAAAATGGAATTTATTTGTAAAGCCTCAAAACATAACTAATGAACAGAGGAAATGTTAGTTTAGTGCCAGGAATGCCTACATTGTTTATTCTGGACCCTATTTTGAAATTGGAATATTTTGAACTTTGTGTTAAATTGGCCAAATTAACAATTTCCGATCACTTTATTTTGTAGTTGAAACAGTTGACTTGGCAATTTCTTGTGCTCAATCGATAGAATAGAAGTAATACTAGTGAAATAGCTAAGAATTTGGTTGATTGGAATAATGTAATTGGCCTAAAATGGGAGTCAAAGTCGGCAAAATCGCCGATTCGTAAATATCGCTGACACATCAAAATTCGCGAGAACATAATTTCGTCAATTCTCCACCAAATTTCGTACATTTTGTTTTATTACCTTCACAAAAAGATTCTCTACGATTTCATGAGAAAAAATAACAAATTTTTTTTTTGAAAATTCTTGGACACTGGTGCGTGACTCCAGATTTGGGCCTTGGACCCTGAAAGGGTTAAATACCACTGCCTCAATCACTGCCTCTACCACTCCAGTCACACTCAATCTACAAGCACCAAACACAATGAATTATTGCGAAATGTTTGGAAGAGCAGGGAGACTAATGTTCACTCCAGCATAAACAAAGCCACACTGACGATGTGTCAACCACTCCCTCGTATTTTTGTACAATTTCCTTCTTCAGTTATATCATTATTATTATTATTATTATTATTATTATTATTATTATTATTATTATTATTATTACTATTGTTATTATTAGCTGTAGCAGAAATGTTTAATTCTTTGCAGTGTTCAAGAGTAAACACATGATGTCACCGTCTAATACCTGTCCGAATAGCCATTCCAATATGCAGTCATGAATGGGTTTACATTATTTGTACTGTAGTTTAATAGCAAATAATGAACAAACAAAACACTCACCACACTGAGTGGTGGGAGGGCTGGCTGCCAGTTGCGGGGGTCGGAGGGAGGGTAGTAGGGACTCGCAGGTGGCGGGAAACTTAAATATGATTTGGCGGCTGGGAATTTGGTGGCTGGGAATTTGGCGGTTGGGAATTCGCGAATGTGTGAAGCCTGTGAAAGTTGACAACGTGAATGTTGAGGGAGACCTGTATATCGAAATACATCCGTATTTAATCTGTCATTGCCAAGATTTTGTTACTCATCACGTTACTCTTTTTCTATATTCACTTTTCATTTCCTTCTTTTACCTAGCCTTCCAAATTCTGGGTAAACTATATCATTTTAATTTAGTGCGACTGTTTTCTGGAACTGTGTATGTGTTTGTGCTAGCAGTTTTTATTTTTTGTTACAGTTGTTATGCTTGAATGCTTTTATGTAGGTTCTTATTTATCTTTTTAATGCCAAAAGCAACGAGTGATTTTCTAGGTCAGAGTGGCCTTCAGATCTCATTTGTTCTTTCCATTGGTGTAAATCTCATATATTGTGTTAGCTCATAGTATAAATTTTGTGTGGAATAGGTTGGTAGACAGCAACCACCCAGAGAGGTACTACCGTCCTGCCAAGTGAGTGTAAAACGAAAGCCTGTAATTGTTTTACATGATGGTAGGATTGCTGATGTCTTCTGTCTGTCTCATAAATATGCAAGATTACAGGCATGTCTTGCTACTTCTACTTACACTTAGGTCACACTACACATACATGTACACGTTTATTTATACACACTCATCTGAGTTTTCTTTGATTTTATCTTAATAGTTCTTGGTCTTATTACTTTTCCTTTTATATACATGGGGAAGTGGAATAAGAATCTTTCCTCCGTAAGCCATGCGTGTTGTAAAATCAACTAAAATGCCGGGAACAATTGGCTAGTAACCCCTTTTCCTGTAAAGATTACTAAAAAGAATAAGAAGAAGAAAATTGTCAAAGTGGGAAGTCTGAATGTGCGTGGATGTTGTGCAAATGATAAGAAAGAGATGATTGTGGATGTTATGAATGAGAAGAAACTGGATGTCCTGGCTTTAAGTGAAACAAAGCTGAAGGGGGTGGGAGAGTTTCAATGGAGAGGAATAAATGGGATTAGGTCAGGGTTTCAAATAGAGTTAGAGCTAAAGAAGGAGTAGCAATAATGTTGAAGGATAAGCTATGGCAGGAAAAGAGGGACTACAAATGTATAAATTCAAGGATTATGTGGAGTAAAATAAAGATTGGATGTGAAAAGTGGGTTATAGTAAGTGTGTATGCACCTGGAGAAAGAGAAGTGTAGAGGAGAGAGAGATTTTGGGAAATGTTGAGTGAATGCGTGGGGAGTTTTGAATCAAGTGTGAGAGTAATGGTGGTTGGGGATTTCAATGCTAAAGTGGGTAAAAATGTTATGGAGGGAGTAGTAGGTAAATTTGGGGTGCCAGGGGTAAATGTAAATGGGGAGCCTTTAATTGAGCTATGTGTAGAAAGAGATTTGGTAATAAGTAATACATATTTTATGAAAAAGAGGATAAATAAATATACAAGGTATGATGTAGCACGTAATGAAAGTAGTTTGTTAGATTATGTATTGGTGGATAAAAGGTTGATGGGTAGGCTCC